TATTAGTAACAATTGTAAGCGTCAAATGTATTGGTTGAATAAAGATAGCTGCATCATTTGCTTGTTGAATAAGAATGATTCCACTGGAACTCATGTTCTGATATATTGAATGCAAATATTAAGAAGAAAAAAATTAATAACTTGTGTGAACATTCTTTTAGTATGGCGTATGAAATTATCATTCTTATAACAGATTACTGTTTATGACATTTCAATCTTCTACATATCATCAGCAATCCTACTGATTATAATCAAAAGAAATATTAGAGAGGATTTTTTTGCAATTATTTGAAAAGAAAATTATCAAAAACTATTGACTATATAGAGTAATTACATGCCAAGAATAATCATTTTCCATTTCAATTTAAAATAATGAATTGCGTGTTGAAAAAAGAAATCTAACTACTTTTATCATTTAAAAAAGACAACAAAATATGGAACGAAAAAAGTCATTCAATACTTTATTTTATATTTTATTTAATCTATTGATATCAAAAAATCAAATCAATAAATAGAAGAAAGAGTACACGATGTATTCATTACTCTCATTACTAAAACCAATTAAAAATCAAAAATGTCCGTATCTCAACAATATTATAAATGTATTAAAGTTTACAATGATCTATCAGACGAGATCAGAGACATTATTTAAAGTCTAGTCAAGTTCAGTTCTGGATCAAATCTGAGAAATTAAATTCATTTGTTGTATCATTCGCGATTGGTATTTGAATACAGGTGTTTGCAAAAAAACTTGGAAAAAAATTTCTTTTTTAAACAGCCATTCTCTACTATTATAAGTAACTACAAAAGTAATTTTTTTGAGGGATAAACCCTCTACAGATATACTACACGTTGTATATATAGAAGTGTAATTCCTTTCCTCGTCGATATTTTTATAAGTCAATCAAAAGAATATGAAATTATACTTTGTATAGAACTCGTCGTGGGCTATCTACCACACTATAAAACAATTCGAAGAGCACTTGTATAGAAGAAGATATCTGTGAAAGAAGGTTTCCAAGTTTTTTGCAAACACCTATAAGTGAAAAATGAGACATGAAGAATTAAAAATTGATGTGTAAAAAGAAAGAGCAACAAAAAAATGTCCATTAGATTTTGTTTATTTAAATTTTTCGTCTTTTTTTTTCTTCAAATAATGAGTGCTGATAATATCAATTCCACATCTTCTTGTGTCTTTTTTAAAGCTTCGATTCGTCGTGGTAATATAACAACATCATCAAAATGTCGTCAAGATTCATCGTCATCTGATGAAAATCAACCATTAGCATCAATATTTCCGTTCTTCACAAACAATAAAAAGAAGGTCAGTAACAACAACTATAAATAAACGTCGACAACAACGTATTGGAAATGATAATGAAGATAATAATAATGATACAAATGATTCAATTACAAAAGAAAATTTATTTGATGGTAAATTTAAATCTAATCGACAGATACAAGTACAAGATCCAAAAGATATGGGTGCAATAGCTACAATTGAAATTAATGCTGATAAACAAAATGACCAACGAGCTATTTTTGAACATGGAAAAAAAATTAACAGCAAAAGCAGATGATAGTGGTCTTGTTCAAAATAAAGGTTCGATAAATTCATTTTGTATTTTATATTTGTTTACATTTGACTTGATTGTTTTCTTTTTTCTTTAGGTCCAATTCGTGCACCAACTAATCTTCATGTGTCTGTTCATTGGGATTATCAACCTGATATTTGTAAAGATTATAAACAAACAGATATTTTAATAATCAAAATTTTTTGTCTAATGGTAAAGTTCAATTATCATTCTTTGTTTTAGGTTATTGTGATTTTGGTGATAACTGTAAATTTTTACATGATCGTTCTGATTATAAACATGGATGGCAACTCGAACGAGAATGAAATGAAAAATCCTGTGGAACCATCGATGTTGACAGTAAACGATATTATGTTGGAGATAAAATGGATAGTCATACAAATCGTTCTCGCCATCATCATGAAACTGAATAAGATGAAGAACTGTTTTGATCCGTGTCAACATACATGATTATAGATTGTCCCTATGATATACTTTTCTCTTTATGCCTTTATTTATATAAATCCATATATTTTAATCTTATGTATTTGTGTGTATTATGCATTAAAAAATAAAATTAGATTCATCTATAATAAGTGTCAATCTTTGCCACCATAAAAAGAAAACTCATACACGTACTCTATTTTTTTCATTATGAATATTGAATTTTGATGAATACACGTCAAACACTAAAACATTTCCACATTAGTAGGATAAATCACATATATATTATAGAATATATCGAAAAAAAAACCCAGGTTTCTATATAATGACATTGACAAATATTAATCATTGTTTCATTTTATTGTATTCATTGATTATATGCACACAAACACACGAAAAGAAAAAAGGATAATTTCCAAACGCAAATAAAGTTTTCAATATTGATTAGATTGTGAATTTTAAGCCGGCTAAAATAAAATAGATAGAAATAATTCTTTGTAAAAAAAAAAAAAAAGAAAACTTACTATAAAATTCATAATAACATGAATTTCTCCATGAGATGATAAACCTAATTTAGCTGGTAATTTTACCCATTCATTAAATTTTCCATCATCAAAAACATGTTTCAATTTAACTTTACCACTTCCAATTGAATCTCGACCAATAACATCAGCATCATATACATCAAAATGAATTGTATCATCACCTTTTTGTAAATTAAATGTAAAACGTTCATTCCATGTTGGATTATTTGAATTTGATATAGTTGTGGTACGTTGTTTATATTTTTTATCTACATAAATTTCTACATAAGCATCATTTTCACCAACCATATCTCGATCTTTAAGATGACGTCCTTCAACAATAATTACTTCAAGTGTACCAGTTGGCATTGTATAAATGTATATTTGGTTTTGATAATAGAAAAAATAACGTATAGTGTTTCGTTTTCATTTGCATTATATATATAAGTAAAGAAAAAGAACGCCCTCGAGTGACTTATTCGTAATTTTCTATCGTCATTCATTCTTATCTCCAGATGTAAATGTTATAATCAATATACGCGATGATTCAAATTTTTCTTTTTCTATTTATTTTGTGATGGCAGAAAAAAACGTCAGAAGAAATTCGATCAATCATCGAAACTATTACAGAGTGAATAAGGTACTTTTTTTTTCTTTTTAGTATGATTCTAAAAAATGGAATAAAAGACGAAATGAATGATTCTTAGTAATAGATGATAGTGACGCATGAAATTTTGATAACATACACAAAAGGCAATACCATTTTATCGTAAATATAACCTTTAATGTAAAAATCACTTCGATTTTCTTTTTTCAAAATCCATAAAATATACGCATATTCAAGGCATTTACTCGATAGATTAATATACTCAATAAGATCAAATATCTCTACTATATATAGGCAATAATTTTTTTCGATGAAAGTATCATTATAATTTCAAATAGAGCAAATACTAAAGGTTATGAAGACTTTCATATGTCAAAATGTATCACATTTAGTTTGAACTTTATCTCATGTCTTCTCACTCATCCCGGATCTCAGTCACTTTAAGAGTTAGAGGTGTGAAAATTTATATGCGCATACTTCACTTGGAGTGTATATTTAGTGACACCACTCGCACCTCGATTGTTTCAATAAAAGAAAATTGAGATATGATAGATGGCACCAATTTTTGTTCTGAGCTCTGCAACTTAAAAAAAGCTGCCTCTTTTTCTTCATCAAAAAAATAAATTCATCTACCAAAATATTAATGTTTAATATTACACTATAGAGAAAGTTTCACTGAATGTTTTAGGTCAATTCATTGAGTTATGAATCTTCAAAGGAAAATAGATAGATTTTTGCAAATTGTTGGTTACAGTAAAATGAACATAGCTCTTAAACAAGTCGACGAACTTCCACGAAATTTTTATAACAGATAGCTGAAACATAGCATTGCATAATGATGAGTCTAATGCCTTTATCTTCCAGAATTATGAAGCTCATATAGAAAGCAATTTTAGTTCGTCATCATTGTCAAGTATCATGGTTGTTATCAATTTAATTAGATAAACAATTTCTTTGTTCAATTGTTATTTCAATAATTATTTTCACTGTCGACTATTTAAATTTTGTTATTGTAAAGATTCCGACGAAATATTTTTTATGAGTATAGTTTAATAAAGAATGATATTGAAACAATCGAAGTGTTCTTGTAAAAAAAAACAAATGTTTATATCAATAAATTTTAAATTCAATCGGAGATTAATATGCATCTTTTGCCAATGAAAAAATATTCACTCAATGATAATTATCTTTTGTGATAAAGAAATGGTATGATAGATATCGCCAAACATACCTATCTGGATCCAATCTCAAAATGAGATTTACTCATAAGACAGATTAATGATTTCATAGTGACACTCTACAAGAGCAATATTAGTTATTCATCGTCAGAAAACTCTTTTTTCTAATGTTCTTTTATTTGAGTTTAAATCAAGATTTTATTTTTATTGAAAAAGAATTCAGTGCGATACACAAACATACGAGTGATTCTTCTCCTGTCCTTCTTTCTATCTGCTCGATTCATCAATTCAACAGATTTACGCGCTAATTTCCTCGTAGAAAACAACATATTGAAATCAAACTATGGACATTCACTAATGTGGTTTCATCGCATAGTCATCATAAATTCATGTTGAATTCCATTGTTGAGAACTATCGAGTTGATGAATAAACAGAAACAAAGAGGGTATCAGGAATAAGAAAGCAGACGATGAATGGAATTCGAATGAACAAAAATTTAAACAATGGGAGAACGTGATTGACAGAAATTGTCAATCCATTGATCAAGTTCATCGATGTGATAGCTGAAGGTATCCTTGTCTGGTTCCGCTTTCAAGACGAGTTGTTCATTGTGAATAACATAGAAACGGAATGGCCATGATCCATATGTAAGATGAAATGTATTATCCATATTATCTACAAGCATGGGCACTTCAAATTTGCAATCCTTCTGACATTCTCGAGCATTCTCAAGGCGTTGTTCAAGTGTGGTTGGCTGATTCACACATGATATAATTTTGCCCATAGGCCATTGATCACGTGCATGTGCCTCGGCAATATAAACTACCAAGAAACGCATGCCATCGGACGCATGCGAGCGAAATAGCGCGCTATATTAGATGAATAAAAAGTATACAGTTAGATAATATCAGAACTACCTACTTAATTCGCTCGGCAGACGCCCGAAATGGAGGTCAGCTAGTTGAACCAGCCAAAATTACTAATGGTTGGTCAGCTGTGATTTGTGAAAAAAGATTTGTAGGCTGACCTTCCGTAGTATACAATTCGACGTCACGCACGCATTGGCCTTGATTGATCAGACCTTGTGTGACCTTGTTATGCTTTACTAGAAATGAATAAGTAAAATATTATGAGTCATAGAAAAAAGATCATGACTTTTGCTCAGAAAACGTATTCTTGCAAAGAATATTAATTTCAGTCTATCGAAAACTCTTTTTTATTTTTGTATTTCTGTTTCTTGCCATGACTTACCATAAAAAGCTGATTTTACCGCGGGATCATCTGGAAATCGATACAAAGCAGTACGTAATGCATTGACGTGATGATATCCGAAATGTTCTACGACATGCTGTTGAATGAGATCGAGTATGAGTCTTCAATTTCATAGTAAAGAACGGTTTAGAGTACGAAAATAAGTACAAAAGTAAAGCTTACCTCAGTGCAGCTTCATCCTTGTGATAAGAATCCATAAGTTCTTGAATTGGTTCGGATAATCGAATATTTGTTTCATAAGCAATCATCTCGCGTAAGGTCTCGATTGGAGGCAATTCATCCGAGACTTTGACTTTGTCAAAGCCTATACGACCCGACGTAGGAAAAAACATCAAGCATCTGGCCCGTGAAAAATCATCTCGAGGGTCAGGAGGCTCTTTGCGTGAGTTATCATCTCGCTTCAATCGTGAAGCTAGAGAACGTAATGCCTTCTTTTTTTTTTTTTCAATAGCCGACGGAGATTTTTCGTCAGCTGCAATTGCCTCTGCCGTTTTCTGTTCAATGCTGGCTTGTGCTTGATTCGTGCCATTCGGTTTGTCTTGTTGTTGCACATTCTGAGTGTCGTTCGACGGTGTTTTACTGCTAGCCATCCACGCAACTTGCTTTAATGTGCGTATGAAGGAGAATTATGAAATACTCGACACTTTATATACAAGTATGCTAAGCATGAGTAAGAGTAGGTAAAAACGTCATTTGTGATTTCACCATCATGTGTTAACAATCGCCATGTTTGCTTTAAACAGCGACAAGCTACGAGGAATGCGATAGAGTGACTCATTAGGGCATGACTTGACTCTATGTCGCAGAAAACAGTGAATGACTCACCTGTTTTTCTCCCAAATCATACGTTGATAGTTCTTCTGCGCGCAACTATTGATGTTTTGAAAACTTCGATTCATGTAGGACTTTTAGTCGCTTGTATACAACATTTATTTCAGGATTTATGCATCAATCAACAAAGGATTCAAATCACTCATTTTCAGTATAAGTTGGCCGCCAATATTAGTAACCCGTACATGGAGTGCCACACATAAACGAAGCAACAACCATATTTAACTTTTAAAAGAATCGTTTGACAGCCTTTCGTATAGAGCTGGATGTGGACACTTTAATCTTTGTATTCATTCAATGAAGAAACACTGACCCATAGCTAAACACATCCACATACTCATAACTGTGCCCACAAAACACTTATTTTCATCGGAACATTTGAAAATCAGTTTTAGGCAGAAGATAACAGAAATCATGGAGAGTGTCAATTAGCTAATCATGTTCGTTGTGCAAGGCCAGACTTGAGGCAGTTGTACTGTATATTTATTTCCGTTTTTTTTTTGACAAAAATGAACTTTTTTCGAGTGGGAATGGGCCTTACCTATTACTACTTTTTCCTTTATGCCAAGGTAAACTCTTCTAAACAGGTGACAGGTCATAATTTGAAGCTGTGAAGAACGAAATACCAAAGCTCTGCTAGACAATCCACTTATTTTGTCTCGTGTAAGAGTCAGACGTGAAGAACCAAGACGGAAGTGATCTGTCTTGTCTGATCAGCTTTTTCTCCAATGCACCTGGACAGTGATTAAGCTTGACCAATACTAAGTCGGATTGTTATTTTTCTTTCTAAGTAGTTAGCAAATAAGGAAAGCTTTTCTAACTGATTAATGCTCTGTATACTTTTTTAGAACATAATTCAAAACTAAACTCGAGCAGAAAACCTTGGAGTTGCTGTAATCAAACAATTTCATACTACTCAACGAACTATGAAGTTAAAGAGCTTTCAAATATAGAGATCATTGTGAATCCATAAGTCGAAGGTTCAGACACGATTCTATTCTAACAAACAAGAGATAAGTGAACATCTATGTCTACTGAAGTCATATGTATCAACAAGTAGCGTAGAGCGCAAGTATTCGAGTTTAATGTTAGGTATGGATGTATGAATAATCGCATCCTAGTCTAAGCACTCAATGCATAGATCTTTGAAAGTTGAGAAACATATTAAACATGGATCAAAATTTAATAAACCAAAAATAAAAACTACATGTTGCATTATTTATCTAAATTAAAACTGATATTTAAATTACATTAAGAAAAAAATGAATTATTTCATAGAAATATTTTTTCCTTATTCATTTTGAAATACCATTGATTATTGATGAAGTAATTCAATCAACAAATTGAACTTCTTATTACTACATTGTTTTTTTTTGTTATACAATATAATAAAATATACATTATTCTTTTTATATGAGAAAAACTAAGTTTTTGAACTAATTGGTGGTTTCCTTGTAACTGTTTGTAATAGTCGAAGATCTTCTTTTTCATGAGAAACTTTATTTCTAACTCGAAACATTGGTCGATCTTGACGTATACCATCTTGTGTTCGAGCAAAGAATGTTCGAGAAACCATAGGATCTCTTGAAACAAAAAAAAAATAATAATAATAAATCAAATTTAATTATCAAAACATTTACTTTTTTAATAATTCAACTGAATTTCGTGTTTGACACGTTCGTGAATCATTTGGACCATAAACAAATTCTTGTAAATCAAGACACTAGAAAAAAAAATAAATGTATCTTCTTTGTTTTATGTTTCAAATTTTCATACTGTTTTTAAATGTTCAGCTGCATTGAGACATTCACCTTCTCGTAAATAAATTGCACCAATACGTGATTCTGTTTGTATAACTTCTTCAGAAAAATCACCAAATAATCGAATTTTATCTGGTAAAGTTTCACAAAGTACATTCAATGCATCCTAAATAGTTAAATTCATTTGAATTATTTTTAGATGACTCAGAAAAAAAAACAACTTCGCCATGTCACAGAAAAATAAGTCCTAGGAGTCTTTTGTTAATGTCTTTAATGAAAATATTTGGACTTGAATACAGATTAAGAGTGTCTCACAAGGAAGTCTCCATAAGACTAGAAAAAGCTAAAAGGGATTCCTGCCTATTAGAGCCCGTCGGGTTGATCTCGAACCCGGATTCGAGTCTGACTCCATGGGTGGTACTCTAAAAAAAGAGCCAATTATAAGTTGATTCTTATAAGATCATGATCGAGATTGCTTCAGAACTGCTAAAGGTGTATTCCTGAGGGATTATCAGGTGCGAATTAAAAAAATTTCATTAAGTATCAAGAGTACAAGTTGGGACCGAGCTCGAATCCTGGATCCAAAATTTTTGGACCCGACAGGCTCTAGTGCCCATGGACCTCTAAAAGCTGAATTTCGGTCTGAAATTCAGACTATAAATAGATCTAATAACCCTTAGAACATCCTGAAAGTTTTAGGCGACAAGAATGTTTCTTTGTTGAGATATTGAATTTCTAACAAATAGTTACTTGCCACAGACATGTCAAAAAAAAATCGAATTTACATAGAAGTTCAATATCTCGACAAAGGAATATTCTTCTTGGTCGAAATTTTCAGGATATTCTAAGGCCCATCAGACCTATGTATAAGCAAAATTACAGATCAAAACTTCAGTAAAACGATCAGAAATCGGCTCCAGAGGTCCATAGGTACGAACTCTTTTAAGCTGTTTCTAGACACGCCAATACTTCGTTGTGGGTTCAGTATAAGCTCAAACTGATTATTATTTCGAAACAATCAAGCCGAAAACAAAGAAGAAAAACTTGTTTGATCGAAAATCTCATTCCTATCAGACAAAAATCTAATAATAAATCTTCATTCCATCATAGATTCCAATTTAAAGAACAAGTTTAGACAAGAATATAGATACAAATAGGTTAATATATATTCTCCTAGAAAAATTTTTATTCAAGTACTAGTAAAGACTTTTGCTTTTTTGCATATTAACAAACCTGATATTTTTCTGCTTTAGTATAAAAAGTTGCTAATTCATCAATTACTTTCAAAACATTTTTATTCATTTCACCATCTGGTTGTTTATATAATTGAATTGCTTGTTGAAATTCGTTTTCTAAATCATCTGACAAAAGAAACATATAAAGGCAATGACAAAAAACCAATCATTGTTTTTCATTATTACCTGTTAAACGATTTGTTCTCACTTTTGCAATATTTCGTTGAAGAATTACATTTGCAAGTTGATACTTATGTTTGATGGATGATATAAACTTTTCTTGTTCATTTGCTAATTCAACTGCTTGTCTATAATATTTTAATCCATTTTGAATATTTTCATCATAATTAATTAAATATGATCCTGAATGTAAATATAAATCAATTTTACGTTTGATTTGATCATTCGAAAAAAATTTCTCAATATAAATAATAATTTGATCAATTAATTCATAAATAGATTCATCAAATTCTTTTGAATCTATTAAAATTTTATTAAATTTAACAAATAAATATTCCATATGTTTTTGTTCATAATCTATTGGTTTCATTAAATGTTTTAATTTTTCTAAAAATTTTTGAATTAAATTAAAATCATGATCAATATGTACTTTATCCATTGATAAAATATGTTTATTTTTAATTTTTAATTCTCGTTGTAATGAATATTGTTTAGCATTTATTGAACATTTAATTAAAATAAGATAAATATCATAAGCAAGTAAATTTTCTATTAGATTATCATTATTAGGTTTTATATTTAAATATTCAAAAATTTGTCGAGCATTAAGCGCATGAAATTTAGCTTGAGGTAAAAAGTTTAATTTTTGATTTAAATAATATTTACTTAGGTTTATATAAGCTCGAGCATTTTCAATAGAATTCTCTCCATATTCAAGATTTGTATAAACTTGCATAAGAACAAGTTGATTAAGATATTGTTCAGGCTAAAGAAAATATAAAACAAAATAAATATAAAATAAAAAACAACTAATTCATTTACAGTTGATTCATCTTTAGATTCAATAATTTCTTTTTCTAAATCTTCAATTTTTTGTTTTGGTGTACGTAAATCAATAGCAGCTAAAATGGCATTAGTACCAGATATTGAAGAATTAGAATGAAATGATGTTCGATTTCCAGTTAAACTCGAACTACGTTTAACTTGTCGTCGTTGACGACTTGCACTAAATGGACGTGTTTTTTGTCTATCAAATTCAACAATTAATTAATAATACGATTTAAATTTCAAGATAACTTACGTATCAAGCATTAGAATAAACGATTATTATTTAATCAACTACCATAACTAGTATTATGATCTATTCGTTGTCATGAATACGTTTTTTTTTTCTTTGACAGAGGGCAGTATCGATTAGAACAGTCAAAGACTGCAATCAAACGTATAATATTAATAATTTATTTTACTATCTGTATAAATTTTTTTTTGTCATTATCTATTCGTAGATTATACTCATATATTTCATTTCTCTTTGAATCTGACATTTGATTCTAGACTAATCCGAATTTAAAAATAGAATTCTATATTAAATATTATCATATATGATTGAAATAATTTATAAAGTTCTCATCATCATCATCATCATCATCAGATATATTTGTTTCATTGATAAAAATAGTTCCTTTTTTTTTTACATTCAATCCTTGAAATGAAATAATTGCAAGTAAGAAAAAAAACAACATTGAAATAAGTTATAAAAATTCAACTATTGATATTTTCTGTCCATCATATTATTTATTGATTTTATTTCACTGTTCTTTATTTATTTATGAAAACAACTAAAATATTAGTCATTTGAATTTTAACGGCGTCGACCAACAATTCCATGAGCATAAAGTGCCTTTTGAAGTTCAATTGGAATTGTACGTTTTTTAAATGGTATTATAACAGGTTGATCATTTTTTATATCAAAATCATATACCATTGGTGGATGATGATCTAAACGATTATTGATGCTCTTAAATAAGAAAGAAATATCGGATGGTAAATGAATATTTATTTCCGCATCATTATTATCATATTGATCATTTATTATACTATCGGTATTTTTTGCCGATACATAGATAATAAATAGAAATAAAACAATAAAACGTAAATATGAAATAGACCAAGAAATGTTGTCCTAAAAGAAATTTTCCCAAAACAAAAAAAGAACGGAAATGTTCAAAATAAATTTTTCTATTTATCTTACTTTGCTCATTTTAAAATGACTACAGGATATATGTCGATGTTATTAAATGAAACTGAACTGATCTTTCACTATTTATATGTATGAGAAAAAAGAAACGAAGAAAGAAAAACGAGCTTCTAATTTTAATATGAGAAGATTTGTTTAGATAGTCTTCCAATTACTTAAGTCATGACAAAGAGTAAAATCAAGACAAAAAGAACATCCACCTACAAAGTTTGATTAAACTGTTCGTATGAGTTTCGTTTTGAAATATTATATAGTTTTTTTTTTGTGAAACACAATCTAAAAAGTGTATTGAGATTAAAATTTGGACATTCTTCCCACTCACCGCATATTAATAACGTCTCGTTATAATATATGAACTACTCTGAAAAATTAAATAAAACGATGGTGAAGAAATATGCTCCCAAAATAGATAGAATAAAACAATTTCCCTGTGATTAACAACACCAGTTACAACGATTTGTACATTTTAATCTCGCAAAAATTGCACTAATAGGTTTGTTTAATAAGATGAGCAGAAGGGATCGAATTTATTAATTAAAATGCAACGGTCATGATCTACTTTCGCCCACCTTTCTATTTTCAATTCAATATATACATAATATTCAAGCCGATATTAATTATATGCTTAAAAGAAAACTAAGAATACGCCATAAATGAAGAAAAACAAAACTTCGTTAGACTTATGTGATTATCTTGTTATTCTATTCGACAGATAATAGATTACGTTCAATCCATGAACAAGATCTTTCATATCATATTTTATTTAAAAAAAATTAATTTTAGAAAACTATTGAAATAATTTAAAAAAATGAAATTTGAAGATTTTTTTTTATAAATAATAGAATAGCAAATTTTATCTTAAACTTTGACTCAAAGTTTACTGTGTAAGATCAACAAAAAAAAAAAAAAGGTGATAAGATGAGAAAAATTACAACATTATTTCATAGTCTTTTCACTCATCTGATATTTTGATGACCATGTTGCTTTTATTCTTTCTCGTTTTTGTATTATTCTCACAAATAAATGTAATATTTACACATTGTGAACAAAATCCATTATGTCGTTTAAGTAATGATTCAACGATAATGATATGTGATTCTATATTTGGTAGTCAAAATGAAAGTAGTCTATCTCCTATTATATCATGTCTTCCAACTGCTAAAATATATTTATTTCGTAATTTTGAACAAATTCCATCACATACTTTTCAAAATGTAACATTTCCAGAAAATCAATCATTTATTATTAAATTAATTAATATATCAATAATTGATACGGAAGCATTTTCAAATTCATTAATTATTCCTCGTAGTTCAAAATTATCAATTGAAATTGGTGAATTAGATAGTTTAACAAGTATAAGATTAAAATCAAATGCATTTAATAATATTAAAATTGATCATTTACATTTTTTTAATTTTAATGATTTTAATGGACATTCTATATTTGATACAGATTGTTTTGGTAATAATTTAGAAATTAATAAACTTACATTTGAACAATGTAATATAATTGGTTTTTCAAATATTATTTCAAAAACTGTAAATGTTTATCATTTATCAATTAAAAGTTCTTCTAATTTAATACAATTAACAGATAAAAATTTACCATTATTTTTATCAACATCAAAATCATTTGAAATATCAAATACTAGTCTAGAAATTATTAATCCACATACATTTCAAGCATGGTCACTTGTACTTGAAGAATTAATTATATCGAATAATTTAAATTTTGAAATTTTTCCATTAATGATTATTGATGGTGTATTAATGAAATTACATAAACTTGATTTAAGTTATAATTCAATAAAAATTCTTGATGGAAATTATGATTGGTTTGCATATAGTTATACAAAATATTTATTATTACGAAAACAACAACTTGATCTATTTCTTAAAACAAATATTTTAAAAACATTAACATTCTTAGAAAAAATTGATTTTTCTGAAGGATTTATTAGTGATGATAATAATAATGATGATTTAATTAAAAATTATTTTCCAAATATGTCACATTTAAATTCAATTGATATTTCATATACAAATCTTTCCGAAAATATGATTATTGATTTACTTACATCTATAAGTAAAATAGCAAATCATTTTATAACTATTGGTTTATATGGTCATACATTAAGTAATAAGAATTTTTGTTCTTATTATAAAATATTTAAAAATGCACCTAATTTACTTCAACTTGAATTAGATAAAACACATGAATGTAATTGTGTTATTGATTTATTTTATAGTAATCAATTGCGAGAAGAAATAACTAATTATTCTCTATTACAACCAACATGTTTATTTAATTCAACACGAATGCCTTGTAATATTGAAAAACAATTATCATTATCAAATTGTACAATTGGTGGACAACATGTTGATGAATCAAATACAGATAGTAAAGTTGGAAATTATGCATTTGGTGCTGTTGTAGCTGTATTAACAATTGTTTTATTGATATTATTATCACTTGGTTTTGGTGTTGTCTATCAAATACGACGTCGACGTCTTACTGATCTTGATATGGAACAACCTGTTGAAAATCCTTTAAATGCAATTATTGAAGAACGTTTACAAAATAAATAACTTTTCTTTTTATTTTCTTTTCAAATTTTTGTAATTTTTCTCTTCATTAATCTTCAAAGAAGTATTCCTATTGAAATAAAATCTGTTTGTCTTTTTGTTAGTTATGATAAAACATGAGTCCATTCATTGATGATGATAGATGGCGCGTTTTTCTTTTTTTTACAAAATAAAAAGACAACATTATTGGAGAAAGAAAAAAAAATTGAAATGACTTCTGCAAAGAAAGAAGGAAGAATGACTCATGATTCATCAAATATGGCTTATCTTTTTGTACAAATTTATGAAACAATATTCAACTAATAAAGCGTATGTTTATATGTTGTAGAAATATGAATGTTAGGAAAAATATAGAAGAAAATTGAATCAATGATAAATTTAACATTAAAAGTCTGTTTTCATTGTTCACATCTATTTTTTTTGTATTGTTTAACGACTGTCAGTTAATCTATACATTATGAACACAGTAAATATGATATCAAATAAAATATACGATTTTGTGATGTATATCATCGATCTTGTTTTCACTACTAAATTAAGAAACAAGCATGATTGATCGAAAAGTGAATTGAGATTGAATACATACCAATCGAAAAAAAAATCTTGATCCACTCATTAAAGTAATGAATGTGTCTCGATGAATGAAGCCGTCACGTAATAAACATTAATAGCAACAAGTATTTGACATAATACACAAAACATTATATTAAAATAAAGACCGAATAATAGGAACGAAGAAAATAGTTTTTAAGAATTATTTATGACGAATAAGAAATTTTGAAATTAATTGATTGATGTACTATCGAGATAAGACAAAGGCGATAATTTATTTCGTCAAACGTGCCAAAATGGTGCATCTTTGCTAATCTTTATTGGCTAGTTTCGACTGCTGATTGATGGATTAAAAATAACTGAGCAATGATGCATAACGATTTAATTCGAATTTAATATAACATTATTGTTCTAGTCAAGACGAGGTTATTAACAAAACGGTATCAATGGTAGGTTAGAAGTTTAATGACGCTAATAGGAAAAAAGTCATCCTTATATATTAAATATCGTTTGAGTTTATGAGAGTAAGGAAGGAAATTTTAAAAGAATTCGATGCTTTTTCGTTTGTCTAGTCTAGTTGTTTACATTGTTATCTTCTTGCCAATCAAAAATAGATACATATGATATTCTATTTATGACTAGAAAATCATTTAAAACTGAACTTTTTTTTCTCATCGTATTTTTATTCATTTATTTTTCGTTGGAAATGATTCATGATTCTTTAAAAGTCATCATCAATGTTTATCTATTGTGCACGTTAAAAATATCCTTTTGTTATTCTAACAATGCTAAACAATGAAAAGAAAATGAAACTAGACCTCCACTCGAGCGAAGCTCGAGTAGATAAGGCGGCTGACTGGACGAGCCCGAAAAATATCAGAATAGGAGTGTATATGACATCTGCTATTTCAAGATCGTAGCCGTCCCTAGAAAAAATCATAATGAATTTAACTCGAGCTTAGCTGTGTTCACTCAGCTGACAAGTGAGAGATAATGAATGTGATCAGCTATTGCCATATAAGGAAACATTCAGCTGTTCATTATCGTATTGCTCATTTCATCTATATAAGCCATGGTCAGATTTTCTTGATTGCTCGAGACTCTTTCTTGGATGAATTTAAGTCACACAAGACGATAATTAAATTATATATGCATTTAACATCTGAGATATTAATGGTCGTTTCAGGTTGAATCATATATTACCATATAAGGAAACTAGCAGTTGTTTATTATCGTTTTACATATATTTGTTATCTCCCGAACGGAATAGAATTTTGAAAAGCGGATTTCAGATGTGTACTCGTCACATTCTCAGGATATCAGCAAGCTTTTTTCCAGTTCAAAATGATGCTCAGGTACTGAGAACGAATGGCTGACTTGATTCGTGACTCATGCATCGAGAAGAAGAAAACTGCTAGGCAACCAGATGACTCAAAAGCAATAAGTCGGCTACTGCACTTCGTGCAGTCAGCCGCCTTAAAAAGAACAGTAATCAGAACTCTTTCTGTTTTTTTTTCTTTCTGCCATCTGACAACAAAATAAAAACTTGTGAGAATGATAAATTTCAAAATTCAGATCTGATTTATATATAAAGCAAGTTTTGTCACATCGTAATTTATCATATATGACGATGAAAAAATTTGTCTGGTATTTTTCTGTGACTGTGAAACTCTTCTAACAGGATCATTTAATGTTTAAAATTTACGAACATACAGGTGAAAATAAAATGGCTTGTGAATAAAATATATTTGTATAATTTTAAGATCCTATTCGTATATTAACTTTATCAAATAATGATAAATATTTTGCATTAATTATAAATGATGTTATATTTATTTTCTGATTTAATTATAGATTTTTATTTCAAAATCATATACATTTATGTGATTATCTTCATTTTTCATCCAATAGTCAATTCACAGTAAATCATACGTGAGATTATCGAACGATATTATGCTATGTGATAGTAAGAGAAAAGTTACTCAAAAAAAGACAACTAATTGTTTTGTAGGCAGATAAATGAATTTATACTTTTTATCATCATATAAATGCAGAATAATTGATTGCATTTCATCTGAATAGAAATATAATGGTAAGAAATGAATACTCTCAATAAATTTTCTTGAAAAACTACTACCATTGAAGTTTAATATCCTTCAAAGTCATTTAAATCATCTTTATGTATCCACTGTTTCATTCTTGTCATTTATTGTATGCTACATCAGCTCTGTATTTATATGGCTATATGTACAGTGATGCTCGAAATCAATCGTAAACTTCATAAATTCAAATAGTGGCTCTAAAAGAGAATAAATGGTTTCGAACATCGCATCAAAAAATGATTTTTCTATAGGAAATTGGGAAAAAACGGCTTTAGAAGCTTCCTTAAGGTTACTGTACCTAAGGTAAAAAACATCGTAGAGAACTCGGAGACATTTCATTGTGTACAGTATCAATTGTCTATGTAGTCTAAACATAACTATATTTACCCGTTATAGGTGTTGAAAAACTAATCTTTTGGTTTTCTGAAGTCTCTATCTTTAGCAACCTGATAATAATTTTTGTTTTCTTATATTCCTTTTGAACACAATTTTCTCTATTTGAATCGCTATTTGAATTCTTCTTAGCGTTTTCGGTAGTGGAAGATCAGAGATCGACCAATCAAGTGAGGTTTCGACTTAGGATATGGTCAATCGGTAGGAAAAAATTTTCTCCGTTGATCTTTGTAGATCCCAAATTCATAGCTGTTTCCGGTTATCAGTTACAAGAATTTTCCTGAGAGCCTACAATTCTAGCAGTTTGGTCTTGGAAAACTCCAAAAGGGATCCAAACAGAAGTTATTCATCATGTTGACTCGAATAATGATGTTTATTTCCAGTTTCAAAGCGACCTGAGACCACTATTTCAATATTTTTGAAATTCTAAAATTTTCCCTATATCACACAAAAAATGGAAGTTTTTGATAGTAGTCTGAGACCGCTTCAAAACTGAAAATAAACATAACCATTCGATTCAACATGATGAATAACCCTTGTCCGGAGCCTTCTAATGTCACATCGCTGAGATCAGAAGTCCTAGGTAAATCATTGTGACTCTTGGACAGAAACAGCTACGTAGTTGAGGTTTGTGAAGATCGAAAGAGAAAATTTTTTACTACCGATTGGCCATATAAGAAGCCAAAATTCAAAGAGAAATGACTTTACAATCCCATTTTCAAAATCTTTGGCAAGACTTTAACTGATTGGTCGATTGCTGACCAAACAGATTTCGACTTACTTTGATGACTTCAGATATTCTCTCTGGAGTAGTGAAGATTCCAGGTCTCTACATTGTTCCTATCAAAAGTTATCGAAAAAAAAAACCATCCGCATTCATTACATTTTGGCGCGGATAGTAGTATTGATGTATGTGGAGTATGATTTTGATTGCTGATTAGTATTCTTTTTTGTCTCCTTGTATTTTTGAGAACAGAACTGTTAACCGTCATATATTCTTAAAGTTGTGATCGATAAATGGACATCCTTTTGAGAATGCCTACGCATAAAACATACATATACATAAATCAACTATTGGACAGATTATACTGACGCAATTGTGAAAAGATAAGAGTATCAAACTTTCGAAATTTAAATCATAAAGAATATACTAAACTAGATGGCATTCGAGTTTTGGAGAAAAACGAATAATCGATTCTCAGTTCAATGTTGAGTGTCCTTTTCATCAAATTCTTTACGTTCTACCGATTGCAGATGTTTTTCTTGGCTCGATAGAATGGTACCTAACTTTCGTTGATATTTTCGATTTTAATCACCTTAAAACAAAGAAATAACTAAAGTCTTGACAAATTTATCATTTTTCGGAAGCTATTTAAAAGAAAATGAAATTTTTTCCGAAAAATGCCTCGAAAAAATAAAGATATCGGTTTGATGTCGATATTTGGATATTGCGTTGGAACGACTATTTTCTAAGTTTCGATTCTTGAGATCATCTCATAACAAAATGGTAGGTTTTGATGTGCACGTAAAACGTAAAGTAAGGAAAAAAGAAAAAAAAACTCGCACATGACTACATAAATGCTGTGTTTGACACCGTATTAATAACTCAAGAAAAAAGAAATATTTAGTTATAGGTTATTCTTCTTTCTACAGTTATGCAAATATTTAATTTATGATAAAAATGAATATTCTTTCCACACATTTCTTACCTATATAGATATACATTGTTTTTTCTTGTGCGTTTATTTTAGATTTTATATCAATATGAATGAATGAGTCGATATTTAATATTCTTTCGTTTTTTCCGACGTTCAAATATTTTTTCTATTTGTAAATATTGTTTAATATTTTTATTTCTTCTATGTATATTTATTTATATTTTACTTAAAATGAAATTATTAATTGATTATCATTATGCTCATATATTTTATCAAAATCAAGAAAGTAAAATCTGTCAAAAGAATATTAATTTAAATAAAAATAAAATTAAAAAAATTCTTTTTTGGACAAAAATATTTTCTAGTCCAATTGATACAAATTATTTAAATAATTTTTTATTTACATCATCAGGACATTGTCATACAGATCAATGTCAAGTAAGTAATAATCGACAAGAATTATGTGATAGTGATGCTGTTATATTTCATGCACGAGGTGGAATTAAAATGTATGATATGCCAAAAGCACGTTTATCTCATCAAAGATATGTTTTATTAACAAAAGAACCACCTTATAAAACAACTGCAATTGTTGGTCATTTGAATTATTTTTTTAATTGGACAGCAACAGTAAGTATTGCGAAAACAAAAATCTTAAAAATTTGAAATTTTATTTTTATATTACATAGTTTATTAAAGATTCATAAGAAATTATTTTCAAAAAAATAATGTAAACTAATGTCGGATTTTTTAATTAAAATGCCAGTCACCATTTTTTGAATAACTCTTTACTATTGATAGCTATCGAGTTCAGATTTTAACCATTCGATAGAGCGGGTACGGAGAGCATCTGACTGTATGCGATCTATTAAGGTTGGAAAAATTATCTATATATCTTTTTCGATACATCACTCCCATAGCAACATAGACTCAATTTACACCAGAATGTAGCCTGACTCTGGCTCTATTCACCTACTATAAAATCTTTGCATCATTTGACCTTTTTCTTAAAGAGTTACAGGTTTTGTAAGATATCGAATAACATGGTTTGTCACATGCTAAATGAACGTGAATTACGTATGAAATTATATGTTTTCAATAGTATTGAATCTATTGGCCTGATCGTTTTCAATTGTGAAAGCTTCAAAATCATATTCATTCTATGTCTTGACTATTCTCTTTTGTAGCTATGAATAGTGAAACAAGCCATCGATCATGTTTTTCTTCGTAGGATCGAAATAAAAGAAAATTGACATACGTATCATGCCTGCGAGGCAAAAAACGAGAATTTATTTTGATTTGTCATAGCTTTACTTTTCAATTTACTCTTTCTTGGTGGCTTGTCTATTCAATATTTTGTTTATTCCTGCTTAGTATTGTGATGCATTGCTAGATAGTACGACATCATCATAAGTATGTATACATTCTATTGCTTTTTTTTTCGTTCTGTTACCACGTATGAAAATTTATCCACTCTATATGTTTGTCCTTTCTTCGTTTACGTTCAAATTATCCAAGCGCATTTTCTCTTCCCTATTTTATACTACTCCGTTTGTCTCTTTCGATCTGACTCATGATTATCTGGAACTTTCTTCAGCGTTCAAGCTGATGTATATATACGAACCAGTTTAGATGATCAGTTCAGTTTACTTATTATTAGACTGTAGTAAACTTGGGTTAATAAACCGCTCGTAACGAACAATCTAATGTTTCACTATTCATAGTTACAAAAGAGAATAGTCAAGACATAGAATGATATGGTTTCGAAGCTTTCACAATTGAAAACGATTAGGCCAGTAGATTCAATATTCGATATCTTACAAAATCTGTAACTCTTTAAGAAAAAGGTCAAATGATGCAAAAATTTTATAGTAGGTGGATAGAGCAAGAGTCAGGCTACATGCTGGTGTAATTTGAGCCTATGTTGCTATAGGAACTATGGGAGCGATGTATCGAAAAAGATATATAGAAAATTTTTCCAACTTCAATAGATCTCATACAGCCAGATGTTTCCCGCATCGCTCTATCGAATGGTTAAAACCTGAACTCGATAGCTATCAATAGTAAAGAGTTATTCAAAAAATGGTGGCTGATATTTTAATTTAAAAAAATCCGACATTAATTTTAAATTAGATTGACTCATGCTTGTTATTGCTGTATAGAAATATTCGAAAACAAAAATTATAATTGATATTGTATACAATCAGAGTTTTACTCTTGATTACAGATAATTATTTAATTTATTTTTTAGTATCGATTGGATTCCGATATTGATTATCAATATTTTCGTTGGCGTCGAAAAGATAAAATTAATACAGAAATAAATCAACAATCATATTTAAATAATCGTCAAGTACGTGCTGCATCAATGATTAGTAATTGTTATTCACAAAATAATCGTGAAGATTATTTAAAACGTCTTAATTCAATTATACCTATAACACATATTGGATTCTGTTCATGGAATAAATGTCGTAAAAAACGATATGAATGTTTAAATGAATTAGCAGATACACATCCATTTTATCTTGCTTTTGAAAATTCTTTATGTCGTGATTATGTTACAGAAAAATATGCTAATGTTATTATTAATCATCGTATGATACCAATTGTATTTTCTAAAAATTCAAATCTTTATATTCCAAATTCATTTATTGATGCAAATCAATTTTCATCACCAGAAGATTTAGGTCAATTTCTTATTAAAATTGTAAAAAATTCAACACTTTATGATAGTTATTTTAAATGGATAAATGAATATGAACTTATTATACCTGATGAAAATGATTATTTATGTGAATTATGTCAAAAATTACATAATTCAAAAGAATCTTATAAAGTTTATGATAGTATGAAAAAATGGCTTTATGATGATGCAAAATGTCAACGATGGATATCAAAATTAAATAAAACAATTGATATATCTGTTGATGAAACAATGGATTATGAAGATCCTTGGTTTTGAAATTATAATTAAAATATTCCAGAATTCATTTTATTGTTTTTATATTGTTTTTTTGAGTTGTCATATAAATATTTCTATAAATACGGCGTGGTCAAGCGTTACGAAATTTCATTTTGTTTTACATTGTATAATCTTTTTTTTGTCAATGGCAAAAGTAAATTCCTGAAAGCTTTTTATTACAGATAGAAACCATTTAGATCTTCTATCAGTTATAATATTCTTGATTTTCCTTTAACTGGAGTTGAGCTATTCAGAAAATACTGGTCATTACGAAGTTTCGAAAATTAGATTTTTTTAAAGCTAAACTTACAGTTTAACATTTTACTGCGTCACAAGTTTTCAGAATATCAAATTATTTCTTAATAAACTAAAAATAGTGTTAGTTATGGAATTTCATCCTTTTTCCGAAAATTGCAGTTTGCGTCAAGATGAAGGAAAAAAAACAGTTAGATATTTGTCATCAGCATCATCGGATTCTACATCAAATGGTGTATTTTTCATTAGAATCCAACGACAAAAAAAAAATTTTCAAGCTAAATCAAAGTTGAAGTTTGAATTAACTAAAGATTCCATTTTGTTTAGAATTCGATATTAATTTCAAATATGTGCATACTTATAAACAAAAAAAAAACCAGTGCAACATGTTTAATGATTTAGAAACACCACAAAATGTAGATACTAATGAAGTTTCGTAATGTAGTATTTCTAGAAAATGAAGACTTCATTTTTATTGCAAAAATTAGCAACGTAAGCGAACAAAATAAACTACCAGGAAGTTTCATTACGGAATTTCATCAAAAATGAAGATGACTTTGGAATGCATTATCTTGGTTCAATAGGTATCAAGCATTTGTACACAGGTCATATGTTGAAGAGGTATTTCATATCCGATAGATTGATGACTAATTGAAGAAATTTTTTCTGTTGATCGATTCTTGTTTGACGATGTATTTCGCTACAGTCTTTGACTTAAACTTTCGAGTTGTCTACTCTACGAAAGATTTCGCGTATCCAAAGCACTCAATGCTGCTCAGGAATAGAAACATTGTCATCTCAAATACTATTGATCATTCTCTTGTCAATGATAGACTCAGTTTTCTTTAAATTTAAGTTTTCACCCTTCCCATATATGAGTGACCACGCTAAACAATAAAAGTACCCGATACTTACAGTGTAAAATATTCTACGGGAAAACAGTATTCCCTAGTCGACCCTCCCCAACGAAATCATCGGGGAGTTCCCTGGAAAATGTGAAATCTCTGGGAAATCCATGTCGTGAGGCTCCGGAGGAGTTGCATATCTCAGAATCCTCATAAAACCCCTTGGGAATCCCCAAATTTTAGGGAGTTCCTCTAAAATTTTCATAAATTTGATTTTTTCAGAGAATTCCAATGGTGACTTCTGGAGAGACCCTGATAATACTCAGCAATTCCCTGGGAGTCCCTGGAAAGTCCCTGAATCCTCTCTTAACTTTCCCAGGGGCTCACGACAGGGATTCCCGCGGGATTCTTCTCGGGATTCTCGACTAGGGTTATAATAGAACTAGTACAAAACAGATAGTTAATTTTCTTTTTCGTGTTTTATCAACTACAATAGCGATACGGAATAAGATGATAACAGTAATAGACTAGATTGATGAATCATTTTCGTATGGCTATTAAAGTTGAGAAAAAAAGAAAAATGAATATCTGATTTATTGTGTACGAATTTCATTTTAAAATGTATAGATTAGTGTATGCATTGTAAATCTATTGTTTATTTTGTCTGAAGAATTTCCTTATAACAACGGATCATCACATTACTGTATAGTAATAAAAATGAAACTATATTAAATAATCAATTAAACAATTAAAGATAGTGTTACGGTGTATTCTTACTACATTCACCTCGATCTTCTTTATTCATTTTTCTTTGATATTTTCATTTCTATTGCTTTTCTTTGACCTTAATTAATCCTTGTATTCTTTTCTATTTTGTTCTTGTTTTTCATGTGCGTATATAAACGTTTGTTTTCTCAAAGAATAAATAGAGAGAGAAAACATATCTTATTCGTGAGCGCGAAGTGGAACAGATAGTGTGGATACCTAGGTCAACAATTCCGGCGCCAGAGTCTGTGCATTTCCAGCTGTGCCTCATTCATCTGTGTATTCTCTTCATTTTATGCTCATTAACATCCACAGTTACATTCCAATGGGACAGCTACATCATATCCATTTAAAAAAAAGGAATTGTAGATATTATAGATTATTTAAAAAAGCTATGCGTTGTACACTTTAATAAAATGCTTAGAAAGAATGCTCGAGACTAAATGAAAAAATAACAGTGAAAGATGCTTACACTGTATATTTTTTCAATTAATCAACAATTGTTTGTCTCTCATGTGTATTCATTGTCGCTTTTTCAAACATTGTGTGTTTCTTCTTATCGTCAGAAAACTTGTTAGAAGACAAAAAAGGCGTGCCGATTGTTTTATCTAAATGACAAGAAAATAGTCAAGTTTTGAGCAGAAAAGCTTTGTATTACAAACCATCGTCTCTTGTGTTCATCAATGCCAATTGATTATCGATAATCTCTTCAGAATTTGAAATATACGAAAACTTGATCATATTCTCCCAATTGATCATTTGTATTTCAATGGTAATGTTTCGAGGCATTTCAGCAAATTTAGAAATATCTTTTTCAAGCTCTTCTAATTTTTTCTTCTATCTCTCAAGATCAGTTTCAATAAAGTTCTCTAAGTCCTGTTGTTCTTTTAGTTCCTTGCTTAATTCATTAACTTGTTTGTTAATATGATCATTTGTTTTTACTTCCTTGAACAGTTTTTCAATTTTCATTCGAGCGTTATCAGCTACTCGATAACAGGCCTCAATTGTTTTTGCCTGCCATTCATCTATTTGTTTTAATAAAACTTGTACATTATCATTATCAAGTGGATTCAATGAATGATACACGCTGGCTTGAAAATGATGTAGAATTCCATCGCGTCGATTAATGATATTGTCAAAATCGTGATCGAGTTTTTCTCGATGCTCATCAAAATGTTTACGACAAAAATTGAGAGCACATCCGTGACATGAAGTAATCGCTATCATTTGTTTTGGTGCACATGTGTGACACATAGGTTTGGAAATTCTAGAAAGGATCACATAATAAACAAGATCGCATGTCAGAGAAGCATTGGATGAGAAAAAGCAAAAACCTGGGAATAGACTCTGATGACGGAGTGTCTATCGATTTGGGCGTTTTCTCATGTAAAATACGAGTCGCAAGAGAAACAAATACTTGTTCAACATTAGATGAATTGAGTGTTGATGTTTCCATATAGGGTAGTTTGAATTGTTTGGCAAATGTAGTAGCTTGTTCAAATGTTATTCGGTGTTGAGCTACTAAATCGGATTTGTTACCGACTAAAACGATAGGCACATTAACTGATGCAAATTCACGAACTTCATTGATCCATTGACCAACATTATTGAATGATATAGGATTAGTCAAATCGAAAATCACCAAAACACCTTGACTGCCACGATAGTAGGCTGTGTTAATCACTCTATAACGTTCTACTCCTGCTGTATCATAGACCGGAACAGTAATATCCAAGCGATCGATACAAGCAAACTTACCCACAATTGAATCTTGATAATTTTACCATCAATGATAAATTGTCTCGTAGAAAACTCCACCCGAATCGCTGGCTTAGTGTCGGAAAAAAATTGGTCATGAGTGAAACGTTGCAGAAGATTAGTCTAACAAAATCATTTATCCAATAATATTCGAAGATGCAAATTAAATTTCATGCTGTTTACTTTTCCAACAGATCGATCACCCATGAGAACCAATTTATATAGGTAATCGTAGTCGATTTTCTTGTCGATATTTTCCGCCATGATGATTTATCTAAAATCACAATTGAAAATGTATTCAAAATGAATGTGTATTATAATGCAAAAAATACGTGACGAAAAACAAATATTTCATTTTATTCTTTCTAATTTATGTTATCAGATAAATGATAATGTAACAAAACAAGTAACAAAAATGAGAGCGATACGAAATAAAGAGAAGACATATCAAAATATAGACAATGGTCCTTCAGAATCGCATTTATATGAGAAAATATCCGACTTTTCATTTTCAACGAAAAATCTAATATCAATTGAACACTCGACTTATATCAATGTCTTTAATTTTATGAACATTTCGTGAATCTTGAGGACTTTCATTACTAAATATACATTATCATTGTCAAACAAAGTCTGAACTACTTTTTAACAGATCGAAGTACCATTATTTGTTATCGTCAAGTATTCACAAGCTATAAATTCTGAGATAGCAAATCAATGCACAAAAAACGCGTCACTCTGACTGAAAGATCTCAAGATTAGAATTCTCATCATCAGAGCCATAGAACAATCAATCTTCATACGTAGATTTAGTCCTCCAATAGGTCAAAGAAAATACTTTTCATGACTGAATGCTCTAATAACCTGAGCTTTCATGTCATACATTCTCAGAAGGGTGTGCGTGTGTGTGTTTTATGATATCACCCATACTCATAATCACAGTTCCAGCCATGCTCTCACATCTAGATTTACATCTGAGCATCGTAACAATTTATATGTGTATAAGCCTACATTTATTTTGCGATGCACAAGTTTGAATCAACAAAGCTCAATTCTACATTCAAAAGTTAGAAATGAAATATTCGCTCCATACGATCACACTATGAATTAACAACAAGTCTGCTCTCATATGCCGTTGAATATAAATGTATGTCATTTGATTTGAGTACTGCAGAAAAATCAATGCTATTCAATATGTAAATCATGCCCCTATCTTCTCGTAGTTATGTATAAAAAGAAATGAAAAAAGTAATATATGCATACACTTCTTCTAAAATTTGAAAAAAAAGGAGACAATCACTAATTCAACGTCTTTCAATACTTATAATAGAAAAAAAAATAAGTGGAAAAAGAAAGCGAGCGCAATGTACATGTTGGTAAGGGCACATCCGAACAAACTAATCGATTGCTTTACGACACATCACAATTCATCTGCTAAGTGTTTTGCTTCATTGAGTCTTACGTAGCAATTGCTAAAAGACGAAAATTCTATTGAATTATGAGTAGATAGTCAAAAGACAATACACATAGGTTAGAAACAAAAACGAGCGATCTCAATATGAATGACATGATAATAGTGATCTTGACGCATACATTTTATTGCGACGTTTTAGTTGCCCATGCAGCCATTATCAAGAAAGAAAAATTTACAAGTGCTCGAGGCTAATTAATAAAATTATACGCGCATATAAGAAAAAAAATATAAGGTAGAAAACGAGCAAACAAAAAAAGACAAGAAACAAAATACAGTAAAGGTCATGAGAGGAGAAAAAAAAATCCAAGAGAGAAGAAAATGAGAGATTTAAAACAGAAAGAAAACGCACATCAGAGTAAAAAAAACGAACTTACTTTCGCGTTGCATTGTTGGTTCGATATTTACATTGCTATATGTTAAAAACGAAGAATGTGGGTTGTATTAAGTCTAGAATTGATCTTGTTTAGGATCGATCCGTCTAAGAACATGTTTCAAATAGCAATTGACAATTTCTTTTTCATACTAAAAATCATTCATCGATATACCTTAAAATAACTAAGAGAAATTTAAAATATCTGTTTTTCTTCTATTGGATAAATTTCACGCAACAGTAATTTTTGGCTCGTTGCACCCAGGACTATATTCTAACAAAAATAATAATGTCCTAAAAACAACCCTACGAGTTCTATTAGGTATTGAAAACAGTTTATCGATATCTATTATAATAATCAAAGAAAACAGAGAAGTCCTCTACGATTTAGGTTGTGTTTGTGGATGAAATAAACAGAATATCAACACGCACCCTATAAGTGACGAGAACGTCCACACCCATCCTATGTGAAATCTATATGAATAGTTCTGTCAATAATTTCTCATAGGAAAATCAAAATCTAATAAGTGTCGGAGATCTTTTATTAAATATTCTAATTTGTTATTCTTATTCTAGAGTTCAAGATCAATTTAAGAAAATCTATCTCAATCAATTGTTCTATCGAACTAGTGATAGACCATGTTCTCTCATATAGTGACTAGACAATTCATTTCGAATTAATTGTATATTATTGAACATAATCCAATAGAGAGTCAGTATCGACTAGTTTCATTTTGAATAATTTAATTGCTTGATCAACTGTATGTTAATATGCTTTTTGATATTCATAAATATATCAAATTTCTTTTTTGCGAATTTATTTGAACAATACTTCGAATCGATGTATCTGGGTATGATCAAGCTGCTGCCATTATCATTGGTCTGCTAATTTAAAAATTTCTTTTATACTTTGTTATATTTTGTCAGACACGAAAGATGGATCTCAATGAAGATGATGCTGACAAACAGGTTTATTAATTTTATCTCTTGGAAAAGATTGATCTGAATATATTCAATCTAGATTAATGATCAAGACGATCAGCACATCCTGTTTTTGTCTAGATACATCGTCTCTTGATGCTTCAAAAATGATCTTCTCACATTGATTGACAAAATACTCTAAGGAGGTGTATAGAAATCGACGAAAGTATCTGATCACTGTCAATTAATTCATTTCGATTCAGGTCATGTCATTCTATTGTCTCTCTCTTGTGATGAATGTATTTCAATCTTTGCTGTTTTCACCTGAATGCTTTCTCAACATAAGAAAAGTTTGTTGACCTTCAAATTCGAAAGGATTGACGAGAAGAAAAAACATCATTGAATTTTTTTTCCTTGAAGATTTCTTCTGTTGTCGAATCGTATAGAACTAATTTGAAAAAAAAGCGAGACAGAGAGAACAACGATAAAAAAGCTTGCTAAAAAAAATACTAACGCAATTGAAATGAAGTAAAATAAAAAATATGAAGCATGAAAAGCAAAACAAGATGTATCAAAAAGCAAATTATTAAATATAGAAACAAATTGACACAGTTAATATAGAAATAGTTAATTTCGAATATTATTTCTTTTTCATCTTGTTTGTGAAATTATAATAAGAATAAAACACAAAACAAAACAACACATAATAAATACGATAGGAAACAGGTAAAATGATGGAAATGCTAAATGACGACAATGTCAATACACACAAAAAGCAAAAAAAAAGAGCACGATAATTATATATTTTAACTTAAAAAAAACGTGAATTCAGCATACAGATACTACAGAGCACAAAAGTTCATCACATTAGTAATTATTAATGACAGGCGGAAAATAAAAGAAGAGAAATAACATATTTCGATAGGTATAATCGAAATGAAATCAAAAACAAAAATCGAATAGTACAGATTATATATCGACTAATATTATTCTGTTATTTGAATACGAAGTTCGAATAGAATATTCACTTATAATAAAGATGATAATAATAATAATAATATACTTTCTTTTGCTTAGAGTGTGAAGAAACATCGATGATTAAACATCGACAAGTTAGAAAAAAAATACAAAACAAATATGATAATTAATTGTAAATAAATTCAAAAGAGATTTATGATTGAGTTGTTGTTCGTACGTCACCGGTTGCTGTTGGATTATAACCACGATTAGCACCACGTCGTTTACGTAAAAATAGAATAATTAAACCAATAATAAGAAGAAGAATAATTGATCCCACAATTATTATTGATCCCACAATTATTATTATTGGTATCCAATTCAGTCCTTGTTTTGATGGCATTATTTCTATTCCTGTATCATCAGATTCCAACGTAACCATTTTTTGTATCGTGATGCGTTTCTATGCGGTTAGAAGGCTTCAAAAAGCAAACACGTTTCCCGTCGTTCAAAATGCAACACTTTCGTTTATCTAAACATAAAAGTAGTTTGAAAAATACATATAAAAGTGTTTTTATGTGAATCTATTTAATCGTGTTCTTTGTTTGTCATGCATTTGACTGCGTCTAAAATGCAACATTTTAATGTAACTGAATGCATTCTACTACAGAAACGCGTTCTGACGTCGAATATTATAAAACACATGTAGATGCATTTGACGACATAGCAAATTTTTTCATTAACGAAAAAAAAAATTGCAGCTGTACTACAGTATTGTTCCGCTTCCGTCATTATATGACATACTCACTTGAATCTAACACAACTTTAAGTCATTGAATTAAGTGCATCATATGAGATTCGACTAGAATTCTCACAAAACCAGGTTGAATGGAACTGACAGTAATGCGAGACAAATTTCGCTGAAACAAAGAGTGTCGTAGCTTAGCAGTTAAAGCACGTTACAACAAGTTTGTCAGGCTCATGATCACAAATGGTTTGTTGACAGACTGTTCTCCTCGGTACCTGTGCAGAATAGCCCCACTATCAATAATAATATACATAAAGACAGAACAGAAAAGAAAATTTATTGGCTAACAAGCACACCACTATTATAATAGTGGTGTGCTTGTTAGCC